AAAAAAAAAAAAAAAAAAAAAAAAAAGTGCTTGTTTTGAAGCGATTCTCCTCAAATGACGGGTCGTTTTCTTGACCACATTAAATATTGTGTTAGAAAAAACAAACACAATTGTGTCTCTCTCGTGTGTCATTCTCGGTAGGTGGTTTTCGAACTTTTATTTAATGTTGTTTACTGTTTGTTCTCTCCCATTCCATGAAAATAAATTAAAAAAAAAAATATGAAAAATGAAAAGGGCCCGTCAAGGAATTGCGAGAGACCCCAAACAAAAGGAACCAAATATTCGTGGAGTTTTACGACGTGCGGGACGCGGCCCGAGCCTTGTCGGAGATGAACGGCAAACAGATCTACGGCAAGAGCGTGGTCATCGAGTACAGCCGGGCCGGCGGCCACTTCTGCAAGAAATTCCCGAAATGCCCCCAACTCCCAACTTGTAGCAGCAAATTGCCACCACCCAATACCTCTCCTCCGGCGGCTCCGAGTTCAAGGACAGTCACCCATCAGGAATTATTAATTGCCAATAACAATAATAATTCTTCCAATAGGAAGAAGATGATGATGAAAAATAAGAACGAGAGTTCAACAAGTTCAGTTGGCGTTGAAGACGGTGGCAGTAGCGGTGGCGGTGGCGGTTGCGGTGGCGGTTGCAGGGCGTGGAAAGGAGGGAGGCGCGGCGGGGGGAAGGAGCGTGATGACCCGCGTTTCCTCATAAATGATAGTGGGAAAGTAGAGGATCATGGCCAATCAGATTCAGATTGGTGCAGGGATCCGAGAACCACTGTCATGATCAAGAACATCCCTAACAAGTATAGGTATATTATTATTATTACTATAATATTGTCTCGTCTTGTCTTTCTCAGTTTTTCTTCTTTCTTTTAACCTTTGTTTTGCTTGCTTGTGTGGCCAAAATATTCTGATTATACCTTTCCCCCACTCTCCTAACTCTTTTCTGCAGCATAAATCAATTATTATTATTATTATATTCATAATAATATATTTTATTATTAATTAATATTTTGTTTTACTTTTTTTTTTCTATTTCATCCTAGCTCTTTCCATGATTGAAGATTTTTTTTTTTTTTTTAAATGGCACTTCTCATGTAAATTTCATTACATGAGAATGCTGAAAAATGTTATTAACACATTTGATAATATAAGTATATGAATTCTTATTTATATATTCTTATTTATTTATATAAATATTATAAATATATATATATATCATGTCAAGAATTTTTAATATTTGTTATTTTCTTTCAGTAAAATTGTATTTTTAACGTCATAGCATCTTTTGTCCCAATATTCTAACTTTTTGCTTTTTGATCCTCTAATTTAGATTTTGCTGCAATTTCGGTATACTGGGGACTTAAATTGCAACAAAATTTTGCAACTAAATTTCAAACTATAGGACTTAAAATGCTAGTTTGAAATTTAGCTGCAATATTTTAATCCACAAAGCACTGAAATTGCGTTGAATTTTTAAATCATAGGACCAAATAATAAAATGTTTAGATTTTAGGACTAAAAACGCCACTGGATCAAACCAACAAGATCAACATTGCAATTTTGCCTTTTCTTTTTTGTTGCATTAAATTAGTCACTAATGGGCAAAAAAAACATGGTTCCAAATAATTAGTTGTTGAATTTTTATGTGGAATTTATTGCTAGGAGTAGGATGGATAGAGAGAAAATTTCGAGTCATTTGATATATGCAGTTTATATATATTAATCTAAAGGCCAAGTAATTGAGAAAACCTATACCTTAATGCAAGGAAACATAGAGTGATACTATGTATATTTCTAGTTCATCTTTTATCTTGGAATTTGACTGTTTCCTTTCTCTTTCTTGATTAAATGTGAAAAAAAAAAAAACAAATTACAGTCAGAAGCTATTGCTGAACATGCTGGACAACCACTGCATTCACTGCAACGAGCAGATAGCCAACGATGCCGAACAAGACCAGCCTTTGTCCTCTTACGACTTTGTCTACCTCCCCATTGATTTCATGTGATAAGTTGCATCCTTTTTTATTCTTTCTAATAATAATAATATAGTCACTGATAACTACATGAGTATTATTTTCTGACCCCTCGACGACAACTAATGTTCTAGTTTGTTTTCTAATTTATCTTATGTTTGTTTAGCAACAAGTGCAATGTTGGATATGGGTTTGTCAACATGACTTCCCCACAGGCAACAATGAGGCTCTACAAAGCCTTCCACCACCAGAACTGGGAAGTCTTCAACTCTAGAAAAATATGCCAAGTCACTTACGCACGATTGCAGGTATTAATATTTCCGTTTCCTTAATCTACCCGAAGAATGAGGAGTGTTTATTTTATTGTCTTAAAGCTGTGCATGTATTATGAATAAGTCCATTTAAAGTTGTGTGATACGGCCATTATTATTGTTATCGAATATCGAATATTATAATTACTATTATACGACTTGAAAAGGGAATAGAGGCACTTAGAGAACACTTCAAGAACTCCAAGTTCCCGGGCGAAGCGGAAGAATACATGCCGGTGGTGTTCTCACCACCTCGAGATGGGCGGATACTTTCCGAGCCTGTCCCAATAACAATTGCTAGCACCTCATCAAGTTCTAAGGAAAAAGATGAATCTCAGCCACGAATCTAACTTTAACCCAAAACAAGATCGACAATGGCAGCTTTGACTGATGGGTTTTTTTGTTGTGCTTTCCGGGTCATGCATAGGTTAATCGAAGCTACTTGTGGTTCCAGATATCATATGTCATGAAGTAAATGCTTCCAACCTGTATTTACCTTAGAATGTTACTACTAATAGCCTATCAATGGTTACAGCTCAACTTTTTTGCTCTCTTTTTAGTACGTATTTATTCTTAGTTCTTTGCATCTTCTCTTGTGTATGGGACTGGTAAATTTGTTTATTTTGTGGTCAGGACTTTGGAGAGGGAATTATGTTTTCTTATATTTAATTTTTTTTGTTTTTTTGTTTTTCTTTTTTTTTTTTTTAATGTTTGGTAAATTGGAACTTATAAAATAAAGTGGTGCTACATTGGAAACATTAAAAGGCATATGTGCTTATTTACAATGGTGCCACTGGTTACCCGGCACGGATCCGGCCCGGTCAAACCCGTTGACTACGGGTCTGGGCCTAGCACGGATTTCAAACGGGCCGGACAATGGTCCTTGACCCTGCGGGTCGGGCCGGGCCGGGTCCGTGCCGATACAAAAAAATACATTGCTTTTGAATTTTTTTCTTTTATAAAAAAAAAAAAAAAATTAATGTGGCCGGGTCCAAACCTGGGTCGGACCTAGCCCGGCCTGGCGGGTCATAGACCCGGCACGACCCTACGTCCGTGTCGGTTCAGGGTCGGTAAAATCCAATGTGGCCCGACGGGCCGGTCCGGGTCGTGACCCTGCCGGTTTTTTGCCATGTCTACATTGTTTTTTATATTTACCTTGGGAAAAAAAAAAGGTTGTTTAAATGAAATTCGAGATTTCTACCTACTTATACGAGCGAATGATACTAGCAATAAATATGAACTCGAGTTTCTAAGGGGGCGATTGGATATGAATTCAACTAGTAAAAAATTGTTTTTTTTTTAATTATAGTTAAGTTTGAAAAAAAAAAGTACTATGGTTAGTTTTTAGTGAATATATTAAAATAATATTTAAATTAAAATAATTAAAGTTGATTTGATGTAAAAGTATGAGAAAATTATTGGAAGTGATGGTTAGTTAAAATTATGTGAGTTGATGAATATTGAATTAAATTTTATGTGAGTTGTAATACTGATTGGTTGATATTATTTAATTATATTGATAATATTGCAGATAGTGAAGATGAGTTAAAGTTGAGTTAAATTTGAGTTTTGAGTGAGATATTTACTGCACAATTTATAAACAATCACCCTAAATAATGGCAAGGCTAGTCTTGAACATTTTGAGCTAATAGTATTAATGTCATCAATGGGAGGTTTGAAT